ACGTCAGTGGCTTCGGCCACAGAAGTCCCCTAAGACCAATCGCGCAGGTTACCGTCCCTGCATTACTCTGTTTCGGAGCATACAGTGGATCTCGTCGAGCTGTCGTAATTAGACATCGGTGAAATTGCAAAATTGCCTTTGAAATCGTGGCTGGAAGTGAACTGTCAAATTATAATTTTGGGATACTGTTGTGACACGAATGAAAACTGAGGTAAAAGCCCTCCTACGAGAATTATCACATAAAAATCGATATACATTGGCGCTATCACTGTGTTTTTAAGATTTTGGTTCTTTAACCTTACCATTTCCATAGCGAATTTGTCTGAGACCATTATGACTACCTGTGGACGTGACTTGCACTACAACAGTGCTAACCGACAAACCTATTGACCCAATGCCAGATTGCCGTTCAGAGAACCAGACCGTACACTTAGACCTCGAGTTACCTTCCTTTGGAAGCATGTCCCTAACAAACTAACTAGATGGATTTTTAAATTCTACCCGTGCAGTTGGCCTCAACGATGACACATACACCTTGCCCCTCAATGTCTGACGATCAGCGGCAGTCCATCCTAACAACTATATCCATTCTCTATGCTTAAGACGTACACATACATCCATGACGGATTTCATATGCGAGTACATCAGTGTTTTGGCGAACATTATGCTCTTTTAAACGGTTCTCCTCATCTCCTCTCTGGACTACGTTCATTTGTCTTAATTCTGTTCACTGCTTCTAATGTGCCGTCCGCATCGACTTGTAAGTTATATTTGACTTCACTGCAACAGCTACACCTTATCCTATATATAATAAATTCGTTTTTACGAACGTTATAACGTTATTTTCAGTTCTAATGTCCACTGTTCCAGAATGTAGGGTGATCCATTCTCCTCACAATTGGCCTTCTACCGCGTATTCTTTGCGTTTTTATACTTTAGATACTATCGGGGTGCCGTGGGTGCTCTCTTAGTCTACGACATTTCCCGATATCAGACCTATGAGAATGTGGAGGCCTGGCTGAGAGAATTGCGTGACCATGCAGATAGCAATATCGTAACTATGCTTGTAGGCAATAAATGTGATCTCCGTCACCTGCGCACGGTACCTACAAACGAGGCCAAAGCGTTCGCTGAGAGCCACAATCTCAATTTCATCGAGACCTCTGCCTTGGACTCAACTAACGTTGAAGATACGTATACTACTCTCCTTGGACGTAAGTTCTGGTCTCTTGCTACAAAAAATATATTTACCCCCTAAGTAATAATAAGTGTTTCCTCCCCCTACGCTCCATCATATAATGGGGTGCTTTAGATGCCCAAGTTATCTGATTAAGGACTCCTCGAAACCTGTTCCTTCGAGTTTTGTCGTGAAGTTGCCTATTTGCCTTGTATATGACAAACTTCTCATGCTCGGCAGTAGTATCTGACTTATCGGGAATAATGTGTTATTCCATGGTTCGGACCTATTTACTGAGATACCTGATTTACCTCTGGCAATACCGTGCCTTGTGGGCCAGGCTTCTGTGTGAAGGTCTAACGAAACTAGAAACGTTGCCTGCATCGGAGCGGTCTTGTAGTTTTCTAGGTGACCGATGTTTAATGACACCCGTCAAATGTGAATCTCGCGTTCTTCATAGCCATAGCGAATCCTTGTCCGCTGTATCCTGCGCATCCAAAGACATAGACATTTAATTCTCCAGTTATCTCACCCTTTCAAGTGATCTGTCGGCAAATTGGCTACCTCCTGCGGCAAAACTCTAGGCTGTTAAGGTTTCTGTGATATTTTAAAAAGTTCACCTCGAGCATTAACGCGGTGGCGACTGCGGGCTTCTGAATGTCATCGTTGCTATTAGGATGGGTTACAGGTCTGATACTTTTTTGACGTGGTTTTGTCCCCTGGACTAAGTACACATTTTGTTTGCTCGCCCGAATTTCCACTCAAACGCCGGATATAAACTAAAATCGCTCAGCTACAAGATGTAGTACGTCGTGCCCAATATTCAAAGTTTAATCCATAATTTAAAACACGGTCATCATGAAAACCCTTTTATTAGAATTCGCCGGTTTCGGTGACTTACGAGGCCGTATTCGCTCCACTGAAATTCATTGGTTAGTCATCCTACCGAGTTTAAGTAACCTTGTTTGATCTGCCTTTGGACTGA